TTAACAAATCAACATTTTTTACCAGCCAATCAAAAGGTTGTTAAAAATGGATATCAAGATATTCTTAATATGATGCCCTATAGGAGAGCCAAAGGGTATAAAGAGATATTTGAACATGTAACTCAGATAATCACTGAGAAAGAAAAAATATGGATTTATTCATCTGAAGATCATATTATCTATTCCAATGCAAGAATGGATACCAAAGAAGAAGATATTTGTTATCTTGACCATTTATTATCTGCAATTATATCCAACCAAGTGCATGGATCGGAAGATATGGCTAAGGAATTATGTAAGATACTTTGGAATTACAGTGATCACCACTGTGAATATTGTGTTGTTGAAGATATGAGCCAAGCATCTCTTAACGATGAAGAATTCCCTGCAGAATTCTTTGATTCAAAAATGGAGAAATGATGGTGATTGAAGTAGCCCTTTATCACTACTTTAATAATGAAATTTATTAAAGAAAAACTGTGGCTACTAAAAGACAAGAAATAATATTAGAAAGTCTCCATTATTGTGACCACTTACCCACTAATTAACACAAGTGGCAGACAAACTCAAAAGATAAGGCACATAATCTTCAAAAGAGAGGTCCACATAGCAAGAAGACAATGAAGAATTCGGTGGAGATAAGATGCCTTGCTACCTAACAAAGAAAGTGGAAGACACCTGTCCAAGATAAGATTCCAAACTCTCCTATAAAAGGGGACATGAAGGAAGAAGGAAGATATCTCGAAATACCTTGAAATAACTTCTCTTAAACACATTTGAGAGAAATCTTTTGTAATCTGATTACACTACTTGTATTCAGAAAAATATTAGATAGCTTGAAGATAGGAAAGCGTGTAATAAGGTAATCACTTATGGAGTTCTAAACTTCATAAGGTGAGTACCAAAGGTATGTAAATATAGTTTGTAAGCATGTACAATTTCAGTTTATGAATATCAAAGTAAAGTTTGTTATGTTCAACAAAGTTTCCATAAAAGGATTTCGTTAAGCTTCTCATGATTCCTCGGCAGTACAGATAGAGATTTTAAAAGATTTTCAAAACATTGATTTTGAATGGATGTTAGCCATGCTAAAGTACCCGTCTTTGATGAATGGTTTAGGGGAAAAAGGCAGTTTTCTAACAAAAATTTGTAGCACTTTGTGTGTGAGTTATCTTTTAAAATTTCATTCCAAGTAGGAACTTGATTCTGAAAAGAGTTTGGATAGAGGTGAAAACAGAGACTCTGGATACTGTGAGATAGCGTCTGTGGAAACACGGCTAGTTCTCTAGAATGAGAAATGCAACCTTAATTGAAAA